GGTGGGACAATGGAAAACGGCTTCCCAGGGATGAGGTGCGGTGGTACAGCTTGGAAGGACCCCCGCCGGGTGTGGGAACAGGGCTGAGCAAGAGGGGAGATGGGAGCATCACCCCGTTGTGCACCATGAGCAGCGCTGCCCTACGTGGCCCGTCTCACCGCCCTGTCCCACCGCCCTCCCCAGTGCCCCCTGCCATCGCGGACGACGTCACGGAGGTGGTGGTCACCCGGCTGTCCCCCGCTGTGCTCACGTGCTACGCCTCCGGCGTGCCCCCGCCGGCACTGTCCTGGAGCAAGGACGGGGCCACGCTGGCGAGCCGCGCTGGCGGCTACCGCGTCCTGCCCACAGGTACGGGGGCCCGGGGCGGCGGGGATGCCTCGGGTCTCCTGTCCCCTTGCTCCTCCTGCCTCCCTTCTGCTCGCCCTCTCCCCAGGAGCCCTGGAGATCCCCCAGGCGCTGCCCGTGCACGCTGGCCGCTACACCTGCACGGCGAGGAACGCCGCCGGCGCTGCGCACAAGCACCTCCTGCTCGCCGTGCACGGTACGGGCGCAGCGCCGCAGCCACCGTGAGGCTGCGGGGCTGGGAAGGAGCCTCGGCAGCGTGTCCCCTGCTTCCCTTCACCGCAGAGCCCCCCGTGCTGAAGCCCCTGCCCGGCATGGTGATGGTGATGGTCAATGCCAGTGCAGCGCTGTCCTGCGAGGCCAGCGGCGTCCCTCCGCCGGCCATCACCTGGCAGAAGGAGGGTGTCCCCGTCCCCAGAGGTGAGGTCCTCACAAAGCCCTGGGTTGAGCGTGGTAGGTCCTGGTCCTGCTCTCTCCTGGCCCTCACGGGTGCTGTCTCCCAGCAGGGCACGGGTTAGAGGTGCTCCCCAATGGGCGGCTGCACATCCCACGTGCCTCCGAGCAAGACGCTGGCATCTACCTGTGTGTGGCTCAGAATCCATCGGGCACTGCGTCGGGACGGACCAGGCTCATCGTGCGAGGTGAGGCCGTGACGCCGCTGCAAGCACCGCAGCCGCGTGCGGAGGATGCTCAGGGCTGGGAGCACAGCCCCCTCAGCTGCTGCCCCTGCCCTCCTGCCCCTCACAGTGCCCCCGGCCATCGCGCCCGGCCCCACACAACTGGCAGTGCTGGAGGGACTCGAAGCCCAGCTGCCCTGTGCAGCCCGGGGCGTCCCCGAACCCCGCGTGTCCTGGAGCAGAGAGGGAGCCCCGGTGCGGGGCACCAAGGCCACCGTGCTGCCCTCCGGCGCGCTGCTGCTCCGGGACGTGCAGGTGAGCGCAGGCACTGGCGTGGCTTCCCGCAGCCCGGCATGCCGCAAAGACCAGCGCCCTTGCAGAAAGCTTTGGCGTGCAAGGAGAAGATCTAGATCACCCCATACCCTGCAGGGCTGGGGCTAGCAGGACCTGCTGTCACTTGGCACTGGCCTCCTTACTGTTTTTGGAAGCATCTCTGCTGGCAAGGGTGCTGCTCTGCCCCGTGCAGTGCCCAGGGCCATGTGGGGAGGTTGGTGCTCTCTGCAGCGCAGGTCCCAGTCCCGTTCTGCTCCTGCCTGCTCTCCTCCGCAGGAAGGGGATGCCGGTAGCTACTCCTGCACAGCGGCGAACTCGGCTGGGAAAGCCGCCCGCCAGCTCCAGCTCTCCGTGCACACCCTGCCCGTCTTCACCCAGCTGCCCGGGAACGTCGTCCTGAGCCGGGGCGAGCGGCTGGAGCTGCTGTGTGCCGCCAGGGGCAACCCCGAGCCCCGGCTCACCTGGACGGCCAACGGCCAGCCCGTCACCGGTGCGTGGAGAGGAGGGTGCTGAGCGTGGAGCCTGCCCACCGCTAACTCGAAGGGAGCACATTGCGCTGGGTTCCCTCCTTGCGTTTTCCCACCTTGCTGGGGCCACACGCAGGGATGCAACAGGCTGCTCCATGCCCTGACGCTGGCTTCCCCTTGCAGCTGGCGTGCGGGAGCAGAGCGGCCGGAGCACCCTGCAGCGGGAGGCCGTCACCGCGGCGGGAAGCGGCACCCACGGATGC